AACTTTGTGTGAATGGGGAAGGTTAGGGCCAGCAACCCATGGGGGGTTAGGGTTAAGCTTGTGAATTTTTCGTAAGAATCAGACAAGCATTGAGTGCATGTATTCAGTGTTTATACATCGGACTTCAACACGTCTCAATTCCAGGCTCTTACTGGATTTCTTTCCTTGGTATATTTGTTTACCTCTAGAGTGTCATGGAAGGTGGCGATCAGTGCAATGCAAGTACCTTACAATCCAGCACGCCTTCTAGATACCCTATGACCCCTCAGGCTGATGAGGTTGAGACGTCAAAACATCCATCCTCCATCAGGCCACTGACGGCAGCTTACAAAGCAGCGAGTAGTAACCACGAGGCAAGTGAATAAAATGCGGGAGCCAATAATTCCAAAAAAAGAAATGCTTTTCCTCAAACTGAAATGATACCTCACTTCCAGAAATCATTTCTTACACTCACTTTAATTTATCCACTGACTTGATCTAGAAAATATAACAAGATAGTTTCAGTTGTATTGAAAATGCAAGATACTACCTACATTCCTGTCTGGTCTGCTTCAATCAATCAGTTTTCCATATTTCAATGTGATTAATGAGTGAACTAGCTGTGGAGGAGAAGACTTCCATGTGGGTGTGCAGAATGTGAATGAAGCAACCCAAATGGCCAAATAATCTTGTGTTTTTGGTGCCTCGTGAGGGACCAGAACAATAGGAAGTACCCCCACAAGGAACATTTGATTCAGGTCCTCTTGTCGCTTTCTCTACCCAGGTTCTTCAGGGCAGCTCAACTCCCAAGAAGTCTTCCAATGTCGTCAGCAAGACATTAGAATACATGTTTGGCTGGTAGCACTCAACGATAAGCACAATTATTTTTATATACAAGAAACTTGGGAGTACCAGTTACATTGAACTGCCATATAGCTAGTCCCTGGTTTGTCTGAGTTCATTTGTATCCCTGTAGTCCTGTGAAAGCCTTCCGCTTGATTCTGTAAAGTTTCTGTTGTTTACTTTACCTCACGATTCATGGAATAAAATGCGGTAATTTTAAGGTTTTCTCCTCGGTCACCAACTTTTTCAGTGTCCACATTTCATTTACAAAAAGCAAGCTGTAATGTGTTGAATCAAATTATGCTTTATTGAAACAAAACGCTTTCAATCATCGTATCTGTGAAGTTTTTACTTGGCTCACAACACGTCACTTCACAAAACTAAATCTGCCCAAATGGTATTGTTGCCTTCAACTATGGCTGTTGACTAATATGCAAATGGAAAAACTGAATCCGTAGCCTGATTAGGAACATGCCTAAAAGTGAACTTTAAACTTCACATTTGGAAGAAGACAGAGGACCATTATATTACTTATGTTGCCATTTCTTATCACTTTTTGTGTCCAGCGATATCAATTACTGTGGATTTAATTTGTTTTTAATTAGAATTTCTCTGTGATAATAAAATATTTTGGTCATAACATACGTGTCTTGACAGAATCGTTCTTGTTTGACAGTCCCAATACAACTGAACCATTGACAATTTATTTAAGACAATTTATTTTCTGTCGGTTTCAGCTCAACAGTCACAGTTTTTTAAACCGGGCCCTGTGCAAAGCTGTTGGAAGACCACATTTTGCTGAATGTACGGCCCTGAGCTATTTTTAAAGCAACAGAGGCTTCTTTGGTGGGAAATACACTTAACTGGTTCACAAGCGACCGTGAAGTGCATGCACTCCAGTCGCATTGGTACCAACAAAATGAACTCTCCTGACCCACATGGCTCATTTCAACCAACGAGGGGGTGCTTCTGCTCAAGGTGGATATACATGCTGGTGCATGAACCTAGTCTACATGTACCGCTGTTGTGTAAAACAACCCTCGTTGTGAGTACAAATTCGAAAAGAAGACAAATTTTTGTCCATAATTCAGTAAAAAATTTACTAACAAGAAAATTGTCCCCTCAACATAAGGCTGGTCTGAGCAAATTTACCTGTGTGTGGATTTTGAATGCCCTTGTCCATCACAACTTTGGCCTTCGTGATGTGAGTCACGTCTCTGTTTTCCATGTCTGGAAGAGTTTTCCTTTCTCTGCCCATCCCTGAGGTGATGAGGCTTCGTAGGTGACTGTGGATGTCTCTCTCTAGATGTCTGACGGTGTCTGACTCTGTGTTTATATCCATAACGGTCTTCATCACTGGATGCACTACCATCAGAGTGATGTCTTATGTGCCGTTTCCTGCTTTTTCTATCCTGTTTGCCTGGGGACGTATGGTAGTGTTTATGATCGTGTCTATCACTAGAGTCAGTCAAATCAGTACTAGGTGACCTGCGATGCCGAGTAGGCAGTTTTTCCTTACTTTCTCTTGACATATGCGAGCGTTTATGTGGGTGTTTGTGGGAGCGTCTATCTCTAACAGATCCATTATCTGATGAATCTGAACCAGGCGATCTGTGGGGGTGATGCTTCTCTGACCTCTTACTGTCCTTCGATGTACGACGGTGTTTATGTGAGTGTCTGTTAGGATGTCTGTCACCAGAGGAGGCACTCTCACATTCCGAGCTGTCGGAACTCACTGATTGGTGGCGATGCTTTTTAGATTTCTTCTTTTTTTCCTGTAGACAAAGTACTGAATTGATCAGTTTAAACCACTCAACAGGTGAAACTCTCTACTCAGCACGGAATTGCACCTGTTGTGCTTTTGGAAAAATATATAAAGACTGTTTGTTCGATCCAAAACAGCTTTGTTCATACATCAAAACACTGTAGAAATTACAATTTTATTAAACCTTTTCATGTAATGAGTGAAGTTGAAGTGCATGTGCATGTATACAAAGTATGAAAGTGGTTTGAACTATCAACTGTCACAGTGATTTCCAAGGATGTCAAAGTGATTCTAGCAAAGTGCCTTTCAACCATACCTTTTTCTTTTTCTTCTTTTTCGGAGGTGACAATGTGGGTATTTCCTTGGCACCTAGCTGCAAAACAGCATCATCTTCATCTGGCAAAAGATCATAGGTTTTGGTACCTGGCATCTGGAAGCAGTCCTTAGCCAAATGTCCTGCAAAGAAACCTTTGATTGAAATGACAGCACTCATTCCTTGAGTATCTCAAGGCTCAAGGTGAGTATCTCAAGGCTCAAAGTGAGTATCTTAAGGCTCAAAGTGAGTATCTCAAGACTCAAAGAGATGCCAGTTTACATTACGTGCAATAGCGCCAATGACAACCAGCACTTCGCATTACATTGGACAGCAAACTGCACTCTTTAATACAAGTTCAACTAGACCATCCTGTTGCCTCTTATGTCCTGCAGAATTTTTCCTACCTTTAGTTCCACATTTTTTGCAAACAGTGTTGAAGACAGCTCCGAGTTCAATCTTTGGCTGTACGAAGGTTCGACCTTTCTTCCTTCTTTGCTCTTCCTGTCTGCATGGTCAACAAACAAAAACATAGACTATTCCACTTTTGAAGAAGAAATTGTTCATGGTTCATTTATTTCTGGAGTCAGCAAGTATCATTGCCCTGTGTTAAAGTTCTGTGAAGTCAGAAGATAATGCCAGAATACAGGTTGCAATTTTTTGTTCAAACTGGAATTTTGAGAACCACACCCAAAAATAAACTCTGTGCATATCTCGTGCAACAAGGAGTGTCACAGGTTCTAGTAACTGGCCATCAGTTTTATGATTTGGAGCAATCAACAACTTAAAATGTTTCATTTTTCTAGAAACTGTAAACATCTTGCTTTGTCCAGCACAATAAGAGTGATGCATTCGAAGTTTTCTTTTAAACCAATTCTTGATGGTGGATTTGACTATCTTTTTAACAATATTTTTTCAACATGCTAGGTTTTTCAGAAGCAGTGAAGTAAACATCTAATTAAGAATTGCGTTGTACAAATTCATCTTTTTAAATTCTTTCCTTCTGGATCAAAGATAATCTTGATGCTTACTTCATCTGGACCAGGTTAGGATCCAAGTCCTTGCCCTGACCTTGGTCCACAAATTTCATGGACAAAGAAATCTTGGAATTATCATCCTCCTGTGAGAAGAACATCAACATTTTATTCTAATGCAGTTATTTTAAGTGAATGGTTATGCAAGATATTCATAATATCAACTTCATTTGTCAAGTATATTTTCATCAAATGAAGGTGAAATTCATGAGCACACAGAGACCATAATATAGTGACAAACCCCAAGAGAGATGACTTTGCAGAAGACACGATCACCAAGTGCCAGAACCTCGGAAACATCCTCAACTCTAGCTGACGAAATCTGTGTTTTATGAACCAGGCCTAGTTTTAAAAGAAGAAGCACAAAATTAAAGATGATTTCATATTAGCAAGCCTGAGCCAAGTTTTCACTGTTGATACATAAATGATTAGTGCCACAACAAAGACCTGAAACAATGCATCAGGAAAATTTTCTTGGGTAAGAATAACTGAATGAGGCACCCGGCAGTTCAGTATAGACCTTTTTCCTGTGATGTCACGATTGTGCTGAATCCATAGTGTTGTGATGGTAATCTACCTATTCAAGATAAACTAGTCCAACAGGCAGCGTTCGCAAGTGCACCTGCACGTGGTTGAAGCTACCCATAGGAATATGCGATCACGGTGGCCAAGGCAGTCCATCCACGGTGGTATTGTTTACATTTAGCTCAATCAAGACACGTGGGTGAAAAAGTTCTATTCCAACAGCGCACGCCCAGTATGAGACTATTTCGGTAACAGCTATGCTGACTTGCGCATGCTTTGTTCCCGAAACACCTTGGCATTTTGGCTTGGCCCAACGAACTCCCTCATTAAAGTTTGCATTCATGTGTTCCATGTTTTGTAGCATTTAAGGCTTTCTCAATTTGTGATGTATGCTGGAATAAGAGTTTGAACAAACCGTTTTTGTGAAATCCAGGAATGTTCACAAAAGCACCATATGACTGTATGGAGACCACCTACACAACAAAACAAAAGAAATGTTAGGTCACTTTGTAATGGCTGTTCCATAAAATATTTCAATATGAGAGAAAACTTGAATGTGTGTTAGGCCTAACAAATAAATCAGATATGGAGCTTGTGTCATTTAAATTTGGAGGCCATGGCAGAAAACTGGCCTTCTTATAATAATCAGTGCTTTTTAAAGCAAGCATGCAGACTACCGGTACATGTCAGGCCAGGAATCCATAAAGCTCACTTGGCGAACTCCACCCACACACGTACACTGCTGCTTTGACATGTTTGACGAACCCTTACACTTGGTGGTAAAAATCTACGTGAGTTACCTCTCCATCGAATATACTGTACAGTTCTGGTGCCTCTGATTGTCGACTTTCTCCTGTTTGTCCATGTTTTCTTTGGTAGGAAACAGACATGATGAACTTCTGTTGTTTTCAGCATCAACCGGTCCGGTACGTAGTTGGCGTGTTTTCTGCTGCTGTGCTGGCGTTGTTGACAATGTATAGCGCCACCAAGAGGTAAGATAATTGCATGGTATTGCAACAGAAGCCAAGTTACGCCCAGTTACCAAATACCAGGTAAGCCTAGGCCTACAGTGAGTTTTGTGTATTTATTAAACTTACATTCGAGACCTCGCACTTGGTACTTGGTTTCCTCCCGAAACATCCTCTAGGGATCCTAACTAGGAGGTCATAAAAAGGTAGGAGGTGATTAAAATCAAAGCAGATTCTTCAAGTACAAGTATTGAAGTAGGGCCTACGATGTATCGTCATACGCGTCACTCGATGCAGCAAAAGCTAGGAGGGAGTGAGTTCCGAGTAATCTAGGCTAGTGCTACCACTGCCAGGCATGACAAGCCTGGTTTGTTCATGGTTCGTCGTCCACAACTGCCTCGCTCTGGAGGGATACACGTAGGCCTAGGACGAAGTACAAACATGAAGAAGAACCCTGGCCCTGAGTAGCATGTTGAGTTAGCGTAGCGTGTGGTCTACTTAAGCCTGGCTTAAATATTAAACAAGAGTTTAAAACTGACACATGGGAGAAACACTGGGTCTTGGTTGAATGGGTGGTCACGAGTGGCCATGGTGACACCCCGAACAGTGGGGTCCGACGTCTGCCCTTCTTCCATGAATGGGGGGTACATGTCAGCGATGTCAGGCGCATAGTTGGCCGTATTTCATACTCAGATTTGCAGAATAAATCAGTGTCAGAGCATCTGTTGACTTATCCTGTCAGTCATTCTCTGTCATTTTCCATGATCGACATCAACTAGGCCTACACAACACGTAGGCCCTAAATTTCTGCTGAATTTCTGCGATTGTCAAAGTGATTAGGGGAAGAGTTCCATATATGGACGGCAGTAATAATTCCCTACAGTGACCTATTGGCCTTCAGAAAGCAAAAACTTGCCCAGAACAGTTCATTGTAGGAGGAAAAAACCCCAAGTCGTTTACTTATAAAAATACTTAAAATTGTTCAGACCAGTCTCATTGGGTTTGTGCATGGGGCATCTAGTGGCATCCTTATATTATCTTTCCATAATTAGCTAGATACGTAGGGAATTTATACTTTATTTTTCAGGAATGCAGAAGGCGTGTACATGTATTGCAGTAACTTTGATGTTCACATTTCTGTGCTGAACCACAGGAAGGAGTTTCACCAAGTCAAAGCTAACCTAGAATGAGCTATCCACCCCCACCCCCGGGGGGTTACCCACCCCCTGGACCAGGAGGAGGCTACCCTCAACAGCCAGCATACCCAGGTGCCCAACCTAACCCGGCTTACCCTCCTGGAGGTCAGACATATCCCCCGCCCACCCAGGGCTACCCAGGGGTAAGATTTATCCCTGCAAAATCTGACGTTTATGGTTTGATGGTTACATAGTTCCATCCATGAATGTTGTAAGTTTATGTAAGAGGTCACTGGCAAGCACATTCCTAATCTTTTCTTTTTGACCGACTTATTGTCTTTATGAACATTTCCAATTATCGATCAACATTATTTCTGACCATTTTACAAAGTTGCCTGTGTAGTTGTAGAATGTCATGAATATTACGTGCAAGTGAATTCATTGGCAAATGTCATACACTAGATTTATTGACTGGTAATCATGTCACGATGCCATAGACAGGGACTCAGTTAAAAAGGGGTCATCTGGCAACCTATTGGCCTGTTTGTGTCACACAGTTCCGGAATGCTGAGAACCCGCCCCATAAATGGCACAGACCAGCCTTCATTGATCGATATCCAGATAAAACAGAGATCCTACATCTACATGACTTGTATCAACCCCAGTGCTAGCAAGGATAAGGTTTTAGTAAACTTGCGCATCACTGCATACCTATTCTTGCCATTCTTGTTCCACAGGGAGGACCTGCTGCTGCTGCTCCATATGGTAGTGCACCCCCTCCGGGTTATGGCATTGGAGCCCCTCCCTATGCAGCACAGGGAGCTATGCATGGAGCACCTGGGGCACCAGTGGTAAGTGTACCAGTGAACTTTTAAGCTGTACTTTTGGTCTGAGAGGTCCATTGTCAGCCTCCATCTTTTATGAATACAAAGAATGTGGGAATGATGGCTTTGCCGCTGTTAGAAGGTGTTCTTTAGCTTACCCCACGGACTTCATACATGTACTACAAAATACAAGTGACAAAGATGTCTAACTTCATACATGTAAGTCTCACCTTTACAAAATACAAGTGACAAAGATGTCTAACTTCATACATGTAAGTCTCACCTTTACAAAATACAAGTGACAAAGATGTCTAACTTCATACATGTAAGTCTCACCTTGCTTTGAGGATTGGTGTTAACTTTAGATCCCTTACATGTCATTAAAAATTGTGACCCACTCAGTATGCCTTCCAGTACACAGATTTTGGTGGCAGCAGTGGGATGACTCAGACAGTCTGTCACATGTACGTGAACACAGAGCAGACACATTTGACAACATGCTTTGACATTTAACTTGATCTGAGAACAGACTAGCAAATGGGTCGTGAAGTTGGTTAAGATATTTAGCAAATGGGTAGAGGTGTCAAATAAATGGTCTAACTGGTGTTGTGGGTTTTTTAAACTGCTCTTACAGTACCATGCACCTGCAGGCCATGTTGTTGGAGCAGGAGGAGCATATGGACATGGACATAAGAAGGTGAGACAATGGAAGAATCTGAGAAATTCTCCAGTAGTAATTTTTAAAGTCAATAAACAGTGTTTATGACTTCTTGTAGCTAATGCGCCGCATCTTTTGGGTGTTGAAAACATCCTGTGATTTGAATGTAGCATAAAGGTGTGACTGTGTTGTCATCTGGTTGGAACGGATTTACAAGAACATTCCACGCATCTTCATGGAATAATCTCCACGGCAGTCTCCACAAACTGGCTAGACTGACGTGCATTTTGCCTTCTCTTTTAATGCTGTGTGTCTTAAACAATTTTCATTCAGCACAAGAAAGAGAAGAAAAAGAAACACAAACATGGCAAGTCCAGCTCCTCTTCTTCATCTTCAAGTTCATCAAGCAGCTCATCAAGTGACTGTGATCACAAGGGTGGTCACTATGGCGGCCATAAGGTCAAAGTCAAGAAACACAAACATAAGAAGGATAAGCACTACAAATACTAAGGACCTGTTTGTTTCTTGTGGATCCTTGTCACAATCAGTGATCCATCACTGGTTCACTGATACCAGAACCTGTGCAATGGATGGAGTGAACCAGTGTTGAGATCTCCGATCAAGATTCAGATCTGTGCGAAACTAAAAGGTCCTAAAACTTGCAGAGCTGGATCCGTCCTCTCTGTTAATCTACTAGCTCTCCTGTGTTGGAATGTTATAGCTGGCTTTCCTTTTCAGGAACTACATCCTCACTTGCGATTGGTTGAACAGTCTCTGTAAGATTCCTTTTCAAAAATGATAAGAATCTTACCTGTGCTGATGCCCATCATTATCCAGTCAGATTCTCTGGGTGCAATTTTCCCAAAAGCACTAAATATGCATGATTATAGACTTGTGGGGTCAGTTTTCACAAAGATTGCAAATGACACTGGGGATTTTATTTGCAAATAGGAGTATGTATCCCATTTTGAAAAGCAATCTAAACGTTCTAAAGTCCATGAGCAATGATAATGTCAAGTAATCAAACTTTCAAGAATAAAGATTTGGACTGGGTTTACCAGGGACATCAGACATGATCATCCATTCAAGTGTTGGATGTATAGCCACTATGCTTTGTTGAGCAGAGCCCTCTAGTGACCACATAAGGGTAATAAATATTAACTAATCACGGTCCCTCAGTTATAAGTGCGGGGCAGAAGAGGGCGATAAAGGAACTGTAGTTAGATATATCCTTTGTAACCTTATTTTCAGTTATTTGTTTAATAAGTATTTGCAAACAATTAGTAAATAAGATTAATGTATTTCAAATCGAAAGGTACTACAAGCTTTGGTCAGAGAGCCGTAAAGATCAACCGGTTGGTAACTGTTTTGTGTAGCATAGCCTTATTTTCAGTTATTAAATAAGTACAGTGTACTTGCAAATAATAAGTATATAAGATTAATATATTTCAAATCGAAAGGTACTGCCAGCTATGGTCAGTCAGAACCCTGTAAAGATCAACCAGGTGATAACTACGGAATATGCTTTGTGTAGCGTTCATCAAAAATAAATTGTAAGTTACCAGGATTAATGTGTGATCTGTACCATCAAGCCACGTGGGGAGACGCTGGTCAGTCGTAGGAGGCGTCAATAAAGTTGTAGGCAGACTCCCATCTTGTCAGACTGTCAACAAAATGATTGTACAAGTGACGACCAACTGGTTTTTAAGCAAACAACCAATTATTTGTGGTTGATAGTCGCCAGCCTGTCAACTTTCTTGTCAGACTGTCGACCGATCAGTATGAAGGCTGCTCAAATAAGTTCACTGAGTCCGTTTAGTAACATGGAAGGTGGTTGACTGTTACAAGTCCAAACAAATTTTACTTTCTAACCAAGTTTAATAAAAGTGAGTTCCATTAGATTTGATGTTATCTCCTCAAATTTGAAGCTGCAGTGGTTCAGAATTGTGTACGTGCAGCTTTCATAAACTATCCAAAAGGTTAAATGCATAATAAACCTAACTCAGCACTGTAACGTGAACCGAAACATTCGAGCGTATAAATTTAACTGATGCGAAGACGTGTACTACAGTGCTGTTTCATTGGGTTATTGTTTTGTTCCTGATATTTTGAGTAGTCGATTTACGATTGGAAGAACCTTTAGCAGCTTTCCTGGAATGTGAGTTTCAAACGTTATTACAAACAATGATAATTTTCCGTTTATGAATCAAACTGCACAGCTCTCTCTCTCTCCTTTTGTGCATCCTTAATTTCTCTGAATATTTATCTGGCAGTTAATCTAAAATTCTCGCGATTCTTTTGCAATAAAAGCCTGACCCTGGCCAAATGTATGGATTTATTCATGCGATGCTCATGATCGACGCTACTGCACAGGGTCTGTCGCTTTAGCACGTTTGTATTCATATATCTTATTTCATGATATTAAAATTCTTGTAATTCCCCATAAGCCGAATAAGCGTCACCTCTTATACAATTTGTGCATGTAGGCCTATATATTTATCTATCCCAGAAGCCAAACATCAATGTATGTCAAAAGAAAGAATTGGCGTATAAGCCATATCATATTGTCATTGTTCTTAAACACAAATACTAAAGCATCATTGACGTTTATTTAATAGATATTTCGAGGATTATTTAGTTTTGAGGATTTTCTTACTTATTTAATTTTTTAGACGAGATAAAGGTATAATCTGATTATTTATAAATATTTAAAGATGTGAGCAGTGGCTGTAGCTTTTATTTCTTTCATTTTGTGTTTGAAGTTCCCTTTGTCTGCTTTTTAAATTTTTCGTATATTGAATTTTAATAAAATTGACGGTAATGATGTGCAAATGATAATATGAATCTGTATCGTTTCTAGAACTTTACTTGTTACGGCTTGAATAGTATTTTGCTACGTTATTTTTTTGTTGGTTTTTGGACTCTAAAGGTATAATGTGAAACAGTCTGAGACATTTATTTAAGACCGATCAAGAGAACTGGCGCTGATGGTGCCCAAGCCTCCATTGCCCCTATGAACCGAAAGACTGGCTGGCATATCTATTCCCACTCATTAAATACCATTCAGGTCACAAAGCCAAACCAAGTTTTAGAAATTAAAAATGACCAATAATTTTGTTGAACAATTGTATTCCTTCTTTTTACCTGCTCCGCTATGGAAATCGATAGAGCGTTTGATGTTTTAACTTGATGGAATGATGGAAGAATCTGCTAGCTTTTCCAGCTGAATAATTTTTCAAGGCTGTAGAATGCAGAAAGCCATACGGATGCTAACAAAGCGAGGTTTATGCATATGCAATGTACAGAGCCCCGCCTAACCTTTAAGCTGCTTGTTATGCTCATTGGTCATTCCATGAACATATCAAGCCCAATCATATATACAAGTGCATTCGCATAGTGCACAACCGGTAGTCTTCCAAACTGCTCCACGGCATCAGGCAGAAAGTTGCCTAACTTTTCTTCATCGACGATCACTCATGTCTGTCTTGTTGATTCTGTAACCATGTCGTCGCTTCCTGAGATTACAGAAAGTCTGACTGCAGAGGAACTGGAAGAAATACGAGTGCAGTTTGACGCGGTGAGTTTTGTAGATTGTAGATCACCACTCTGATCGAGTGGAGACACTGGATCGTAAGGAATTTAATACATGTAGTTCCTGTATTCATCTCCCTAAATGCACCAGACGGTACTTTTCAGTGACATTTTCAAAAGTAGACCTACGGAACTAACTTCAATCTTTCTTCGCATTTGCAAATCACCGATCTATTTCTGACAACAACCAAGAACTAATGTCTTAAAGCAGTTTCAAGTGCTGGATCCAACAAGCACATAAAGTGTACACGTACATACAAAAAGAGGGGCACGTACAGGATTCCGAGCTGTGGTGTGTGCGCGGTTTCCAGTGAAGGTTTGTTGCGCGCGTGCTACACGGAGGCCGTGACTGGTACCCGACTTTAACCCACCTGCCGATATAGAGTATCGACAAGAATATATAATATCAAATCAGTGCTCTGAAACATGTGATTGCCGAGCTTTCGGCAACTGAGTAACTTCTTCAGGGCAAGCATGTTCTTGTCGATATTCTGATCACGGTGCTACGCAGCCCTTCCATATTTTGCCGATATAGAGTACCACAGTGTGACGTCACTGTAAACCAGAAAGTGCAGCGCAAACGAATGGAGTACGCGCGCGTGTTGGTTCACGCGCTGGTTCTCGCACTAATGCCTTTTACACACTAATTGTGCGCGTGACATATCCACTTTGGTACTCTATAAAAACCGCAGTTCGGGGCTTCAGATTGACCAATTGGCCTATTTCCCTATTGGTTACCCCTAAAATGTTCATATTTTGTTTTGGATTAAATTTCGGTTTATACGCGTAAATTTGCGAAACGGCCTGCTATTTTCAAAGACTAACTGCTGTCAACGTCGCGGGTTTTATGCAGGGTTGTTTTGTGGCAATAAGTTCATCAACTTTCTCTCTTTGAAGAGTTTAACATCTTCAATTTGTTCGTAGATTTTTATTGAATAGAGATGTATAAATACACAATATTGTAGAGATCCGATTTTTATTGAAATGAAACCGTAACTTTTCTTGATAATTGAGGAATAAAAAAGAGGATTACATTGCGGACGTGATGATCGTAATGAACAGGCAAGAGCGACGGTATATACTGATTGGGAACACAGTATGCAGAGCAGTGCTGACGCGCACACGTGCGGTACGTACAATGTAATTAATCACAGCATAAGTCGTGCTGTTGATTGGCCTTTCCTTATTTTATTCGCAAACTAAGAAGAATGAGCAGACTCAGTTGGTGATTGGCAGTGACGAGTTTGGACAGTTGCGCGCACACACTGTATGAACTGCATTGGAGAACGGCTGAAAACAGCCCACGACAATGGCAAGAATTAACTTTACGTCCGACTTTATTTTTCCGTTTTTGTCTTTGGTGGTGATGTGTCGAATTAGTTATCCAACCAGCTGTAGAGATAAGGACGCATAGGAGTTACAGACGGTGAAATTGGCTCTTGGAAAAAGGAAAAGTGTTGAAAATTTTAGGTATAACCCCCGCCCCAATTTTAGACCCTTTATGCTGGACTCCCTCCGTAACGTAGTACGATCAGGGAGTCCACCTGGGCTAGGTACCGGCCCAATGTGCAGATTGAAACAAACCAGAGTGGTGGTAGTTTCTCACTCATTGGTAAGGGACAGAAGAAGGCGCTTTGTAACGTTCACATTATGAGTCCAAGTCCTTGACAAATCGACGAATCGACTGGATTCCAGGCTCGTCTGGTTTCCTGTACTCTCCATCTTCATAGAGGTATTTCACTTCCTCTGGGATAATAGCTCCATCCCACCGGGCGTAGCGGTACGTTCGTAGCACCTGTATAAAAGAGTTACAAACGTTGTGAAATTTAGCACGATATAGTCTAATCCGATTAGACGCCATAACTGCGGTGGCACCACATTCACACGCACATTCTTCAGCTTGACGCGCACGTGCATTTGGCAAATCACAACACCCTATTGGTGGAAAGAGGCAGGGAGCGCGCGCGTACCACTTGTCCACGAGCGTTGTGCCAGCTTCCCTGAATACACCTGTGTACGCGAAAGGGAAGCCTCAAAATGAGGCTGATCGAACGCTGTAGTGTATTCACCAAAGCATTCTGGGAAACAGGTCAAGTTCCCGCCACGTTCCCTCGTGTCCATGCACGAACAGTCCATCCGTGACGTCATTACACCCAGGCAGCCTCCAGAGACCCGCTCGCCAGCCGGGGTAGTGGTGGCTGACACCAGGGCAGGCACGAGGATCATGCTGTCGTGTAAGTTTGACTTACACGTGTTAGCTAATCGAATGCACCCAATGGCTTTTAATTGTGCTTGCCGGCCGAATACACTCATATCAGGGTATGGCTGGTGGCCCATTTTTTGGTGGAAGGATTGATTGAACGAATAGCTGGTTTTAAATTGATTGACACTGCCTCCCCAGTTCAAACATTTTCAAGGTATTGCCAAAGGAATCTCCAATGTAAAAGTACAACGAAATATAAGCATATTTACCTTCCATCATGCATCTAGTGTTATTCATTCGTAACATTTTCTATATCTACAACCAGTATGACCCTCCGCGATTTTATCTGGTAGATTAAGTCACTGGAAAAGAAATCGGCATGAAATTCCCAAGACAGGTTTCGTACGTTTGGGGCAATCTGAGGTGCGTACACCGGGTACTGATTGTAGTTGAGACGGCGGTAGAATCTTTCGTTGTCTTCAGTCAAAACTGACACATGGATGTATCGAGCCCCAAAGGTCTTCTTAGCGTAGTCAGCGATCAGCTCATGTAGTTTTTTACCCAAACCTTCCTTCCTTCGAGATTTCTTGATTGTTACTGAAAAAATGGATAACATGGAATATGCATCCCATTTATATTTGGATCAACGGTGAAAAAAGGTCACGTGAATTCCAGTTCGGTATTTCAAAACACCACGGTCATTCACTATTTCACAATAGTGCCTCCAAGAGTGTGCAACACATTGGCTCTTCAAAATGTGCGAATTTGTCGACCCACTGCGCGTTGAAAGGGTTGACAGATTTCGCGCGTTGTGATTGGCCAATGCATCGCAAACTCTTGGAGGCGCACTCTTGTGAATCGCCCATGTTCACGCTCGCCCGCCTGGTAGGGCCGCACTGTCGGATTTTGCCAGACCTCGCATGCGCGTCCAATAATGACCTCCAACGCGTTTCATTGTGGGCATGCGCATTGTGGACATCCCGCGATGATGTTGTCGCACGCCTGAAATTTTGTTTCTCTAAGTGCAACACTTTACCTGCCTCCAGATAAAAACGGTTTTCGCTCTCCGGGGACACTCTTACTATTCGCACGTGGCCCAAGACTTCCTCGGCGACGCCCTCTCGCGATTCCGCTAAGGCCAGGGAACAAGGTACACCCTTACAATGGGACGTTTCAAGTAACCTCAACCTTTATAGAGAAAAACCAAAGACATTAATTTAGCTTTGCGTCGGATATGTTATTTTGATCACTCTCACTATGCCAGATTATTGCGAAGAAAATCCCAAGATTCCTCGTGAGTGATTGGAACCCGTGACTTCCGTCCAAAGCACTTTGCTGCGGTTTGAGATTACGCATGACTACATGAAAATTGGCTGTAGCCACCACCATAGACTCGTGCATAATTTCAAGCCACAGCTAAGTAGTTCAGACATGGTTTTAAATGACGGCAGTTGAACCACTAAAAATCACCATAATGCGCCTACCTTTCAGCCAACGACTCAGGCCACGCCTCCTTGACAAGCCTGATCGTGTCTTCGATTAAGTCTGGGTTGGAATGGAGAGGTTTCAAATGTAAAGCCATGTCGACGTGTCCCCTTGCCACCTTTCTGCTTCATCTTCTCAACCGTGCTGCGTTTTATAATAGGTTGAATTGCAGCAGGTAGCACGTGACAACGGCAGATCACATATTTAATTATTGCTGAACAGTTTTATTTCTCCCAGATATTACAAATAAACTTCAACAATGGGATGTACTGTTGCAGTCAGCAACATCACGAGGATTGAGTTTACGTACCCAAGAATAACGGTTATTTAGTCTCGGACGAAATCATTGTTCTGTGTAATAAGGGTTTGTGCAGCTTTAAATATAAGTCTATAATATCACGCGACCTTGTCCTGCTAAATGCAGTCAACGCATGATTGTGTCTACAATTTGTGTACTGAAAAAAAGACTTTGACCGAACGTGCTAACGAAGGTCACGTAGTTATACACCACTGAACCTTCAGAGTATTGACAATTCTATGCCATAGACGTGTCTTCAGTCTGTTTTGTTGCTTGAGTTCGGAATCATGAGAAGTCGGTGCATGTGGTGGCATCGGTGCTTAGAAATAACTCTTACTTCATCTTGCATTGATTGCACCATAATTTTCGGCCTTAAAATTTAATCATGATAAAGGTGCTTGAACCTGTTGTCTGGAATGGCAGGGAAATCTACACTTGACACCGATTTCCAACTATGTGAAGATGCAAAAACCTTGTATTATAAATTCTTAACCACTGACAATGATTTTTATTTGGTTTCTCTCTAGTTTGATCAAGATGAGAATGGCCGCATTTCAGTCAAAGAAATTGGCGCCATACTCCAGAAACTCGGCGAGAGCGTCCCTGCATATAAAATTAGAGATATCATCTCGGCTGTTGACAAAGATAAAAACGGAACGGTAGAGTTCTCGGAATTTCTAGAAGTGAGTAAACCTGATAATATGAACTAACCAAAATATCGACAAAACCTGTAGATGCAGAATTAATTTTATTACCAAAGTTTTCAACAAGTCCTAACAATGCAAGATTTCGATTTCCATTAAGCAGTGAACAGAGCAGTGTTTATTAAAGAGCAGTGTTTATTCAAAGCTTTCTATCCGCCTTGAGCAGAAACACCCCCTCATCGGTTGAAAAAGAACCGTGTTGGTCGCCAGTGTAAATTTTGTTTAATACTTGCGTTTCATAGTCGTTCGTGTACCAGTGATGCCCACTTGCTACCAAAGCCTCCGTTGCCAGGAAAATTGAGCCTTCTCTTGGTCCAGCTTGGATCTGGAGCCCATAGGCATCTTTTCTTGTGAATGCGTTTTGATTAGGCCCTACCAAAAATGCTGCCTTCTTTTGCTGTGGAAACCTAAAAGTCCTATAGGAATCCTACAGGATTCTATAGAATCCCATAGGATCCTGGAGGATTCCTACTTTTGTGAGAGAAACTGGTGTCTGAATCCCAGCCTGCGGATCCCAATCCTTCGATTTCAAGGATATTTTTGTTTGAATATAGACAAACTTAAAGAGCTTTTTCAGTTTACTTCGAAAGTGAAATCCCTGAAAAGATGCGGCCTGAAAAGTGAGCGACAATGTGAATTTGACGCAAAGAAATCCTTCGCAACTAACCTGAATCAATTTTTGTTTCAAAGTTTGGACACATTCAAGACCACATTTATAGCCGTGTATATGTACATGTATGTGAATTGATGCCACACTAAATTTAGCCATGTTTAAATCACTTGGCTATGGCTTCAACTCACGCACGACTCTATGGGAACTTACTGCGGCCACTACTAAAGACTCCTCTGTAATTTTAACCCTCTGTGAAGTACGTGTATTTTGGATACGGCCTCATTTAATTAGGATTAATGTTAGGCTTAATTTAAATATCCAAAACATGTTGATATTTAAATTATACAATACCAGGGGTTAGAGGTGGGCACCAACATGACGTGACAAGATCGTACCCATGGGAACTAAGCTGTACTGGAACGTGTTGTGGCATTGGAAAAAGAGCACGTGTTGAATGCCCACGTGCAAAGTGGGAGGGCCTACTGAATTAATAGGCAAAAAGTATTCCAGTTACCATGAAACCCCAGTTTTCGGGACTGCCATCCATCGTTTTGGCTACTATTTTTCTTTTGGACAGATGTACACTAACGTCAAATCCCAGAAGGTTAATGTAGGCCTATTCAAAGTGGCAGAGAAAGCATACAAATTGCAATGCGTTAATTTGAAGTCTCCTGATGAGGGTCAACAGCATTCTTATGATGAACCAACGAAAGTTGCACTTGTTGGTAAGTATGAGTCGCTTGGCGTAATACAGGCAGTTCACAATAGTGCGCCTTCAAGAGTTTGCATCGCGTTGACCAATCACAGTGCGCGAAATCTGTCGACCCTTTCCAAACGCGCATTGGATCGCCAGATTTTGCTCACTGTGATTGGTCAGCGCGTTGCAAACTCCGAGGCGCGATATTATGAAACGCCTGTATTGGCTGTATCTTGTAATAACTTCTTGTGAACTGCACATCAAAGCAAGCCGCATCGACAATTGACGCAGACATTCGGTGATTAAATATTCATGACGGTCATTTTTTATTTCCACGTTTTGACCAATCAGTAAGCGTGTAGGCCCTAGTCTTGTGCGTGCAGCCCCTGGCAGTAAAACATCCATGGCTGTCTGGTCTATTAATTAATTAATTAATCGTATATGGAATTCAGTGTTCCGTGGAAATAGTCGCTGATGGATCCTTCGGCTCCCTGTACCCTGTTACTCGAGCTCTATCATACATTTACAGCAATAAGTTGGGTTGGTGTGTCAAAAAGGCACGAGTGGGCCTCACTAAGATTCTGCGCGCTTTGATAAAATGTGTAAAACCACAAAAAAAAAATCAAATGGTCATTCATTTTTATAATGTTACCATCACGCCCTCTAAAACGGAATAAATTTTTATCTTTAGAATATATCAACAAGAAATTGGAAAATGATGAAGACGTAAAGGCCCACTTGCCGATCGATAAAACAACCAATGATCTATTCAACAAAGTCAGCGATGGGATACTTATCTGGTAAGACCAGAATTTGATCGGTTGGTTTGCAGTTTCTTTTTCATCGTTCTTTTTTTTTAATTCTCAGAAAGGCCCCCAATTAAGCCTGGTACAAGATTGAGTCATCTTTTCTCAATGGCGCAATTTATTCAAACAGTTCAATATCAAAATATATTTATAAAGACATCTTAATTAATTTTAGACAAAGATCAGCCGACAGACTTTAAATGACTCAATTCCTGTACGTTTTCAGTATTGAGATACACCCTTTTGTTTCAGTATTCAAGATAGTATCTTATGTCCTTTGATGTCTAGAGTATAGTTTAAATTCCTCGTAATATAGTTTTTCTTATCTCTGCATTTTATAACAGCTAAATTCTAAGCCTTTCATCGGCAAGTTCTGTACCATGATTTAAAGTTTAAATTGAATCTCATTATTGTCTATTTAACCTGTCAATATTTCAGCAAAATTATCAACCTTTCAGTGCCCAATACCGTGGATGAGAGAGCACTGAACAAGGGGAAGCTCAACGCCTATGTGATAATGGAGAATACCATACTTGCGCTGAATTCAGCAAGAGCCATTGGCTGCAATGTTGTAAATATTGACCCCCAAGATATCGTAGGTGGAGTACCTCATCTTGTGCTCGATTTGCTGTGGCAGATTGTTTACGTAAGTTGCTTGATCAAGTTAATGAGCCGGTTCGGTATTTCATAAAGCCAAGGTCCTTCGGGAACAAGGCGCGCTCGTATTCTCTGCCTATATGGCTGCACTGATATTACAGACTGTGGGCGCATAGCTGTTCTCGAGTAGCCGCAGATTGGGCATGCGCTGTTGGAAAACCGAACTGGCCCAGTTTTTTAAATAACGAATTTTGTCCTTACCCAACTTATATATAGATAAACACTGTATGTTCAGTGTTAGTCCGAGAGCTTGCGAAAAAACTTCACAAGCTTACTCGTTCCCTTGAACATTGGCGGTGTTCAGATGTCGCAAAAGTCGTATTAGCTAGATGATGAAATACTAAGATTTGTACTAGTATTAATTTGTTTAATGATATGTATGAGCCGAACAATTTGAAACTTTTGATTTGCACGACAAAGGGAATAACCACATTTGCACCCTTATTGACTAGGAATTCAATGAAACAAAGCTAACCAATCACCCCTCTTCTTCTCATCACGTGTGTAGGAGGGATTAGTGAGCCACATCAATCTTGAGAGTAACCCGTACTTGTTGAGCCTGCTGAATGAGGGAGAGACCCAAGACGAGCTTATCGCCCTATCGCCGGAGGAAATTTTAATCAGATGGGTCAACTATCATTTGAAAAGGGCTGGTATGTGTGAAACTTATGGAAGTTGAAACGAATATGAGTGCAAGTTTAAAATGTCTCACATCAGAGCCGATGGTGACGGGTATAACCACGACCTGATCCCGGTTGAACATTTAATTCACAAACAATGACTATCCAAAATTGCTTATATAAAGTCTTGCCATCGTGCTAAGCCAGACATTTGATATTCCAACGAAGCCAATGTAGCACTAAGCTTATTTTTTCCTGCCGAATGAGTTTCCCTCATGACAGCAAATTTCTTTTCAACGTAAATCCAGAGAATTGAAGTTATCTAACAAGCTACTTGTTATTATGCATCAGGTTATTATTTTTCAAGTACATCTTTATGTGCAAAGTTATTAACCTCTCGATCATAAACTGAAGAGACATTTTTGCCAATTTGCAGGTAGTACCCGTCTTATCACCAACCTTGGGAATGACCTCCAGAATTCGGAAATCTATGGTATTTTATTGCTACAGATTGGACCCGCTGAAGCAGGCATAACCCAAATTGTGTCTGGGGTAAGAGATAGACTTCACCTGGCATTGAGTGGATGCGCCAGAAGTTTTTTCGTTTTGTTTTTTTCAATACCAAGAGAAAGGCGATATCTTCGGTCTATTTTATTTACGGTATACTGTTCTTAACGTAAGCGTGTAAAAGCCCCCAATGTGGACCACCACTAAAGGCCCGAAAGGGTACTTAGAAGTAACTTATTTAGTTTGAAGAAGCGCCGTTAGGCCCTAAGCAGAATCATTTTGTTTTACTAAGCGTAGAGTCAACATGTACGTAGTTTGAAGAAACCATACCAAGCAATTTACATTATTTGAAAATTTACTTTTGTGTCTAAATTAATGTGGCTTCCTTTTTTAAAATGTTAAAACCGAGGTATTTTTACTTTTATGACGTTAAGGTCTGATATCTGTTCCTTTATCAGGATCCTCCGTTGGTCAAAGCAAAAGCTGTGCTTGCCAATGCAGCAAGGATTAAGTGCGACGACTTCGTGACACCTGAGGTAAAAAGGGATATAATATTGCAATAAGACATAGCATGTAATAATTCAGAGGTTTTCCCTTTACATCAACCGGTCAATAATTGAACGCCCGTAGGATCTAATACTTAAAAGGAATCCGACACAAGAAAAAGTAGGAAATTCAATTTAGTTTGCACTATGCTTAGTTTGCTGACAGTTTTGATACAAAACTTAGCTTCGTGTTTGACGCAACTCTATTGTTCGAATGAACTTAATGGTTATAGGCCTATCAGAGATTGTTCTTGTGACGAAACGCAAGTCCCTTTCCTTATGATCTTTTTTTAATTCAAACTTTCCTTTGCATCCAGGATGTCGTTAGTGGTAACGAGAACCTGAACATGGCTTTTGTTGCCAATTTGTTCCACTATTTCCCGGCCTTGCAACCTCCAGACGAGGAGTTTGAGAATGTAACCGAAACAAGAGAGGAAAGGAGTAAGCTTCAAGTGGTTCAAATTATGCTTTGGCAAAATGGCACAGGTTATAAAATACATACTTTTGACCTCAGTGATGGAGACTTTACACCAGAGGTTTCAGATCTGTGCTCAAAATTAGGAGCCTTGTGGCATTTCAAAAAGCCAAGGTCTTTCGGGAACAAAGCGCGTGCGTGAGTTAGCATGTTGGCAACTTTCCTCGTGTACGCCGCTTTTTGGGTGCGTTGCGTAAACGACGCGTTAATGCATTTCACTTTCACTGACACAAAAATCCACTCCATTAACATAACACACGTATCCGTCAAAATCGCCCTGGGAACGATTTTGACGCGTGTCCGTCAAAATCGTTCCCAGGGCGATTTTGACGGATTTGCAACGCTTGACGCAAGTACTGACGCGCATACTATGGAAAGGCACCTTAGGACTGCGCTGATAGGATGCGCGTAATAGCGTCGTGTTGGGCATGCGCTGTTGAAATACCTTACTGGCTCGCTCATGGAAGATTATTCCTCATCTTTAAAGCTTTCAGAAACTGGATGAACAGCCTTGGTGTGTCTCCTCGGGTTTACTGGCTCTATGGTGGTCTAAAAAATGGGCTTATCCTCCTACAGGTGAGACTAAACTACTCTCAGTGGACTCAAGCTAACACTTGAACCAAAAATATAGATATATAAATTCCATCACAGGCCACTTATTACTAGTGGTGTCCTTGCAAGGCCATATAAGGCTCTGTACTGCCTCCTATGATCGCGCAAGGTATTACATCAGTTACGATTATGCATCCTTCAATCGATATAAATCGCTTGCGCAGACTTTCAGAATGATATAAAAAGTTTTAATGCCACAAACCTGACCGGTTAAATTAACGCTTTTTTTACGGATTCTCTTCTACAACCCCTTCTCAAACTTGTTAAAGATTAGGTACGACGCGAAAAATGTTAAATTCGTAAAATTTGGTATAATAGTGGCTCTGTATACCATAACACAATTGTATTTTTACTGTTATTAATTTCATGCATCCGTCCCTGCATGAAGAGGGGATTAAATACCATGAGTGGCCTCAATGGTGACCAATAGACCATTTTCATTTTTGTACGAGTGGCCAACGTTTGCAGAGATATCATTTCAGTTGTTTTTTTAATCATTTCACCTCAATTTCGCTCAAAATGGAAATTTGTCCAATTAATAATTAAAGAAAGGTTGAATTTTCATTTAATATTTAGTAAGTGCATTTATCATCTGGTGTTTCATACCTGTGTGGAATTTTTATAACACTCTATGAATTAGTCTTTTATTTTGTACCGACGGCCATAGAGAAACACGACCGTCATGTCAAAAGAACAGACCCTATATTGAAGTTTCAATAATCTATGTAGCACCATTAATTCCTCTATTGGTATATTTCGAAACAGTAAACCAGTGAAAAAAATAATTACCACTGTCTGAATTTCATCAAATTTTATGTTGTCTCTCTAAGCTCCTTGAAAAGGTGAAACCGGGCATAGTAAACTGGTCTAAAGTAAACAGATCGGAAAATCTGCAACCGAGGCTTGGCTGGAAAATGAAGATGTTGGAAAATTGCAACTACGTCGTAGAACTCTGCCATCAACTGAGATTTTCTCTAGTTGGCATTGGTGGCGAAGACATCTTCAACGGAACCAAAACGTTAGTCCTGGCTATTGTTTGGCAGATGCTGAGACAACACGTTCTCAGTGCACTGTCAAAACTATCCGGAAGTGACTCAAAGTTGGAGGATAAAGAAATTATCGAATGGATTAACAACAAGGTATTTGTACTTATTTTTTCAGTGTATTTGTTTTGTATTTTTTTTCTGAGTCAATCATATACATGTCTTTTCTCCCTTGCAGCTAATCAAAGCAGGTAAACAGATCTATGAAGCTTTTCCTAGTACTTATGATTCTGACAAACTAAATATCAACTTTTTCCAGCTGCAAGTGGCAGGTAAAGCCAGCCGTATTTCTAACTTCAAGGATCCTTCCATCGCCGATGCCAAGGTAGTCCTGGAACTTGTCGACGCAATAAAGGTGGAATCTGTCAAATGGTCACTTGTTTCCCAAGGCATAACAGATGAGGTAAGCTGATGTAAAAAAATTGTACCCCTATCATAGTTTCTTGCTAATAGTCCATTAATGGAGTTAGGCTTTCTTGATTTTGATGTTCGCATAAGACGTGATTAATACATACGTAGCCCAGATTTGCTCATAAATGAACAGGATAATATACCATTTGTATGAAATCCCAAACACCTAATTCACCAATGCCGTCTAGTCTTTGAGCTCAGTATTCCTCACATCAGTTATCTTATCCTTTAGTCACAACCATAGACTTAATTATGCGATTTCAAGCCATAGTCATTGCATTCAGACAGCATTGTTTTTACGAATAAAAGTTGAGCATCCCAAGTGGATGCGGCTTGTGTAGGCAAGTTCAGATCACGGATACACTCGAAGGTTTACGTTCACTGCTGAGGATCGTACAGTATAATAATATAGGTCTGTGTCCGAATGAGTTGTTGCGGCCTGAAATTACTCATGAGTTCGGTTTGAGTTGCAGCCATCTCGGCAAACCCCTGCTGATCCCTCAAGGACAACTCCATATAGGGCTCAAGTTTGCTGAACATGTACACTGCAAAACTTCGGGTGTCAAATTAAGCCCTCCTGACGTGTTATCAGAGGACTACACCGACACTTTTCACTCGTGTTAACACTTTTGGTGTTACTTTTAACACCCATCAGTGTATTGGAACACCTATAGGTGTGGAAAGTAGCACCAGCAATGTAAAAATAACATCCGATAGTGTTGTCATCTTATAACATCAAAAAGTGTTGATTTTGACACCACAGATTTTGCAGTAAAATTCTGTTAAAAGTAGCGTAAACTGAACTATTTTCACTTTTTCGACAGGAAAAGCTAGGCAATGCCAGGTACGCCGTATCAATGGCTCGAAAAATCGGTGCCTCTGTGTACATCTTTACTGAGGATATTTTGGAAGTGAAACCGAAGATGCTTTTGACATTGTTCGCAAGTCTTATGGCGGTCGCCTTGAAGAAATAGTAATGTCATTACCGGCAACCCCAAGAGAATCATTAATTTTTCATCTTGTTTTTCAAGATGAAAAATTAATGTTTTTAGGGTGGAAAGGGATCAAATTGTTCATGCGTAATCCTATGAATGTTGACTGAGATTAGACGCTGAATCTGGGGCGATGATTGAAAATAAATTAGGAATTAGGCTAAAGCAGTCTTTTTATTTTTGAAGTTGGCGATAATTTTTCAGGATTTGAGGATTGAGGACATAATGCTTTTAAAAGCGAGAAACTGTGATACAAGTTAAAAATCAAACAGTGGAAACGCACGATAAATAATTCTTTCAATGGTCTACTAATACAGTTATAATTACATACATTACGGTCATTATATTCAGCCTAGGGTTTCAAATTAGTTTATTATGTGTTTAGCCACTGTAAAATTCGGGTGCAAGGTCGTTCAACCTATTAAAAAGTTATTTTAAAAACTCATCTTGACACTGTAACGTGGTAAAGAGCTCTGTCAATCCACGACGGTAGGAAAAATAGGTAATTTATCTTTTACAATTTTATATTCATATGGAGCAGGAATGTTCATTCATATTTGCGGCTAAGCAGCCTTGTTCTTGTTCTGTTAAAAGTAAAATTATTTTCTCATATATAAATTCCTTGTGTTTTTTTGTTGCAATTAGAGTCAGAATAAAATAAACTCAAACTGTTTATTTGGTGAAATTTTGCAAACATTTACATAGTGTGAAAAAATGAGTGTGTCACGAAAATGATGATTTACTAAGAGAAACGGTGGGTGTCGCGGTTGTTCAGAATTTTGTTTTATTAGTATACCTGTATCCTTATTATTAAATAAATGTTTATCCTCTTTTCAGAGCCTTGGGTAGAGAAAATTAAAAACACAATAAAATGTGTGAAGGTGTCAGTTATTTTCAGTCTGTTTGATGTTTGTTTCATTTGATACAACTTAGAATGTGAAACGAACCCTTTACGCGTGACAACATTGATACAATAAAATGCAATACCTGTGTATAAAACTTGATGGATATATGTAAACGAATAGTGGAAACTGCTCCAATTTACCTCAGTGTAGCTAGAAATGGGGGTGTGATTTAATAAAGGCGCACACCTAGTGGGGCCCTTGGCTTTGTGGGGGTGAGGGGTGCTTCCCCTGAAAAAGGAGAAAAATAAAATTGGGAAAAAAAGGAAAGAGAACAAAAGAAAATGAAATTGATATAAGACATGAAAGAGGATTAAAATCCCTAATTTGCTTTAAAAATCCTTCCATCGATGGTTTGAGTTCGTTGCTTATAGAAATTTCCCGCAGGGCAAAAATGTGAAACCTCCCCGCAAAAATCCTGGCGATGCCCATGGGCCAGGAGCAAGCCTCCTCCCTCATGAAAGTTGTGAAATCTACTATTGCTCTCTCTCATTTTCGATAGAGGGCGACATTGGCCATACCGGCGTACTCAGACGTGACGGCCGTACACAATGATCCAACGCTTGAACTTCGAGCCGTGCTGGGTTGCAGCCTGGAGGGCTCAAAGTTCTCATGCAGAGTTTAGGTTTTTGGTAAAAGTTTTGGCAATATTGACAAAAGGTTTATGAAATGCTGCAACCAGCCGCCATGTGCCCTCTGACATTAATGATGTCCAGATGAAGTCATACACACATCTCAAATTTACAAATTTACAGGACATGATACCAGTCTAGTCTAGTAGTTGGCCTTTCGCGCATGCGTAATGATTACCACAACCACCTGTACGGACGTTTCGTTGGTGAAGTACATGCACTTCCGCCATCGATCACACGCCCTTCGATGTTCGAATCAAGTTGGGGTGCACTTTTCAGATGAGACTGTTACTGTCTGCACTGTTTGTACCATCTCTTCCCAGTCACCCAAACTCACACTAAACGCAGATTTGGTCTTATCTTATCAGTACCAGATCGAATGAGCTAACCCGCACTGAGGTGACAGAGGTTGGCAATCGTTAGTGTGACCGTACACAGTGCGTGGGGTGGGGTGGCTCTGGTTACAAGCGTCCGGTGGTTTGGTTAAATACCGATTGTTCGGGGACTTGATCTGAAACAGAAATCCAACGACTGAGTCATCATGGATCCGCAGCAGCTGGCAAAGGAGAAGAGTCTTCCCTTGGAAACTGTCGAGGAAATAATCAGGAATTTTAGTGAAGTAAGTTGAGCATCTTATTCCGGTACTTGGTAGAATATTTCAGCATGTTTGGAATTAGAGCCGATTCAGCTTACAGAAATCTGTAGACTTTTGTCTTAGTCAACCGAGCTGGCAAACCATTTTCCCTTCAGAACCTTGTGTCACACAGTGTCCAAATTATGCATCCTTGACAAAGAACTTGTCAGAAAAGAAATAAAAGACACAAACTATCACAACACAAAATGTAACGAAATCAGTGTCGCTGACGATTGACAAGTATTGTTCTACCGTAGCTCTACTGAGTGGAGCATTAGGCCTAGTACAATAAGTACTTCATTCCTCTTTTTCGAATTTTGGACTGGATTGGTCAAACCAACCATTAGTATGACCTATCCAGTCCAAGATTAAAAACGGGGAATACTAATGCTCCTCTTACATATAGAAGAGCTAGTTGGTACTTGGTGTGATGTGTGCAATTGGTGTAATGTGCCCTGTGGATGCTTTGCCAACAATATTATATGGACAGATAACCAGGACTCACTCTACCTCCCAGGCAAGTTCAGGGGAGGGGCTAGAGCTTTCACTGGAACAAAGGTGTAAGAACTTCAATGTTCAGCTGAACATTTGAATTCTAATTTCTATACATTTCTAGGCAAGGATGTTGCATCCCTCCTCCACTTTTTCAGCGTAGGCCTACATGTACATCGGTAGGCCTGTTTCATCTCAACCAAGGTCAATCATTGTTACTGATTTTAAAAATACTGAAAAGATGTATATTTGTGAATCTTAGTCCAAGAGAAACGGCACTTTTATTAGGAAATACCGGTACTTGAAAATTTTCTTGACTCCCATAGACTTGATGACAGTGACACACAAATGCTGTTATGTTTGTTTGCACAAAAATTGGCAGACATACTCTGTGCGTTCTGGCATGCATGTCTTGAGTGCTGCTTACAGCCGTGTAAGTTTAATAGGGATCACTCCTGCTGTTGTGGTGTTCGGTAACTTCATGTTATTGATGAAGAGAACTTCATTTTTGTAGTAACCGTTGAACATTTGCTTTCTGATTTCTGGAGTTTTACCGTACATAAATTTGTTGGTTTTTAACAGTTTTGTTACTAATGCACACAACACAGTATAAATTGTATTTACCAATTCCTAGAAGGACCACTTCCTGTTTCATATCCTCATGTTGGTTTCACTTTCTGCCAGTCATCATCTCATTAATTAATTACGCTTTTCACATAGTGGTACATGTACATGTACTCTGACCAAAGTTAGAAGTCATGGGACATACATACATGTACATGTCTATGGACGTATTTGCCTGCAGTGACATACAGGTACATACATGTACCGGTACATAGAAAGGAATAACATGTCCTAAAGTTAAATGTACATGTAGCAGGAAATACTGGTATACTGAAGCAATTTCTTAGAAAACATTTTCAAGGCAAGTCTTGGGTTTTTGGCATATATGCAAGTGCTCTTTCCGAAGCCACTAAATACTGGGGTGGTGCTGCATGTGTTTGCGACTTGCCACTGCACCTTTTAATGTCGGGTACAGGTTACAATGTACATTACTTTCAATTCAAATGACCGAAACAAAAAAATTCATCAGGTTTTCCTTTCATTTTTAAACGTTTTAGTGACAAAAATTAAAAAGATACTGACAAAATTGCAAGAGGGCTTGAATGATTTTCTTAAATTGTTGAAATAGAAGAACGTTTGTGTGGATCTGGAAGCTGTGTGAATGGATTCAGACTGGAAGGTACATGTACTTTGTCATTTCTGTTTTGAAATACAAATTTAACTGTGTGTATTTGTTGTCCAAAATGAGAGGTATGGGGAAGTTACATGTACATACAGGTACATACATTTGTATGTTCAGTCCTTTTTTGACTGCAAAAGGAACCGTGTCAGAACAGACAATGTACACTTATATACATGTACAGGTGAAGAACTCAGTTTCATTCCAACTACACGTGCAGCGTTGCCTGTTCACAAGTACTGAATCGCTGGCAGAAAGTTTTAACTGGTCACAGGGGGGACAACTTTAACGTCACCAAAATTGTATCATATTCAGATCCCATTCTTTACTGAATTTCATTTTTGCACTACATGTACATGCACTTTGCCCCCGCAGCACATGTATTTAATTTAGTACACACAATGTACAGACAGCGTCACTGTGTACATTTAAGTACATGAAGTGGGAAGGGGACAGGGTAGGGATTTCCAGAAGTGGGTTATTAACATACAAGAGATTGTAAATCTACATGTTGATGGAAAAAGATGAATAGGGACAAATTGTATGCCCTGGCTGTTCTGGCTTTCTTAATGATAGGATGTATCCTACATGTACTAGGGAGGCCTACCCACAATTGAACTGGTTTATTTGCATGATGTACTGTACATGTGCATGTGTATGTCGTTCCACTTGGCTGAACTGAGGCTCTGCTGGGTAAAATCACATGTTTATACACTCTCCAGTATACCCTATGTGCGTGCAACCCATAAGGTCGAATTCAGGGGTGTCTCACCAATGACACTCATGCAGTATACTTTCACTTTCATGTACATGTACATGTATTGTACATGTAGGTAGGTGGTGGGGATTTACATGAGTGGGCTCATCAATGTGAGAGCTTGTTACCAAATACAGTATAACATTTTGTCGTTAGCATAATTGCCCTGGTTTTTTGTTGCGACGGTGAATCATGGTGCACAAGCATTAGAGTTAAGCCAGTTTCATAGAACTGCTGCACTTTGAAAGTTGCAAAGCTGAAAATACATCTGCTCAATCAGGTTGCCAGCCAAATCATGCACTCTGTTTGTTTTGAAATGTACATATAAAGTTGATTTTATTAGCATGAAAATTTACTGTATTTCTGCTAAAAGCAGGTGTATAAAATGGGACTCCTTGGATAGTAATTTTTCATATGGCAATCTTCACAAGCACAGCAGTTTCCATTATTACAGTTTTCAGTCAACATGGAATTTCTGACTGATTAATTCTTCATGAATGTCCGGCCTTCAAGGCATGCTGTGCCCCAAGTCAATTAGAGAGACCTCAATTGTTTTCCTTTGAAGCTTTAAATAGCAGTGGAGTTTCTCATTGACCTATTTTTGAACAGATCATGGCTTAATCGCTGGAGGTCAAATTCATTGAGACTGTGTGCAGAGCAGACTGTTCCTCAGGCATCACTTTTTTTCTAAAGCTGAGTCAGCTTTGTGGTTAAATTGTCTAGCTTTGAGCTAGATAAAGTCTCTGTGGATACCTTGTTCTGCAGTCAGGTTGAACTTTGAAGTGCAGTGCATATACTGGTATATTGGGTACAATATAATGTCATGTATCAGGCATGCAACTTTCCTTAGATCAGCTGATTTCCTCATTTTCACTTCACACTCATGCCAATGAAAATTATAACTACATGTAGTTCTACTGCAAGTCTTGTAAGATTGGAATTTCCTGGTTTTTGGTCAAAGGCCAAGTTTGAAGTTGCATGCCTAGTACCGGTACATGTGCATTGCACAGAATGCTGAATATTGTGTTGCCAAATTTTCTGTCTGATTTCTAAAGAGTCAAAGCTTTTTTCTTGGAAGCTTTTTTCTGAGCACTTGCTTTGTCCTACTGGTAGGTCCCTACAGGCCTACCCGTAGGCCTATGTACACGTACATGTAAGTGGATCCAAAAATGTCAAAAGTCGGCATGTTCAGTGCTGATGTTTTGAAATCCTTCCAGTCTGATCTAAAACTATTGGTTCCTGTATTAGAGCCAGGGATTTCTCTCTTTCCAAAGCCCTGAAAGATCTGATTGACCATCTCAGGAAATCCTGATTTGTGCTGTTCCAGACGAGGCAATTTACTTAAATTACCGGTACTGGTGTGCGTATATATGTTAAATGAAACAATTCTGCCTCTTCCTGCTTTGTCTGTGTGTCGTGTATTGGATGCCAGCTAGAAATTCACCAAGTTCTCTGTGGACTGTTAAGCTGTTTTACAAGTGAAGTTAAACTTGTCTCTGAACTGAAGTGAAAGCTGTTGGTTATGTACATGTATCCAGACCTGTGAACACTGCTTTCAGTTTCAGTCTTTATTCACATTTCAGAAGAGGTGCTGGATTGTTAAATTTGTTTCCTGTCGGAGCGGAAAATCCGCCTGGCATTTTATTGGCTTACAAGTACACGTACAGCAAATTTGTTCCTAAGCAAAAAGATTTGGAGCATGAAATTCTGTGATGCAAACATGTTCACATGATACCCACAATACTTCATGCATCCAAGCGTTCCTTGCCCCTGGAGGAATAAAAACATATTACTCCATGCGTGGCCATCCTACCAAAAAAAACAACAATCAACAGATAAATGTTGGACCATGGTTGCGGTGTGTTCCTGTGCAGCCTGTGCTTGGACCTGCATGTACATTAATTGAACCTGGTACATGCACCAGTATTGAAAGCTAACTCACTGGACTTCCAGTGATAAAAGCCACTTTATGATCTGATCAACCCATTGACTCCTTAACAATCCCCTCTTTACAGGAGTCTAGGCCATGTGTAAACACCCTATCTGAGTTTGTCAAAGGTTGAAAACATTGAACCACTTCAATAAAGGGATAGCAACTCATTGCTAAATAATCGCTTACAATGTACGTCACATGGGTGTGGGCCATGTATAAAATGTCAGTGTTCATGATGGTGTGTGAACATTGCAGAGTAGTCAAGGGAAGAGAGTAGTTACACTATCACAGGGAATATAGTTACTGTACACTATCACAGGGAATATAGTTACACTATCACAGGGAGTATAGTTACACTATCACAGGGAGTATGGGGTATAGTTACACTCTCAGAGTAGGCTAGGCAGGCAATTAATTTCAACCAGGAGACACCATAAATATAGAGCACTTTACCTACATTCTACAAACCCCATAGGCTACATATGTGTGTGTGGACAGTGTGTTCTGTCAGGTAATCTCTTAGTGTGGGTTTGTACTTCACTGTGAGTCACTCTGTGCTGTATAAAAGCATTAGTCTGGGCATAACAGGTGTAAAACCCATTAACAGTTCACATACACTGTACAAGTTAACCAGCAATCATGACACTCATGAACATGTGTTCAGTGCTGCATACATGTACATGTAGGCACATGTGCACACAATATGACCATGATGCACATGTACATGTTCGTTTCCTGCTGGAGTGCCATGTACATGCATGATTTGGCAAACATTTGCAAAGTACCTGTAGGACAGTGCAAGGTCATTCTGTTTACAGCTGTAAATATTTTCCACAAGTACTATTTTTTCCCAGTTTTTCTGTGCAATTAAGTTATTGATTTTTGCAGCACAGTAGATCATTTGTTCGATACTAATTTTAAATATTTTTGTGATTGATGACATTTACAGAATGCGTGTAATATTTTCTCTTCCATAATCTACCATGTAATCTACCAGTGTCTAGATTAAATCTGTTCAACTGTAAGGTATTGACTTCTGCAATTCTGTGAGCAATTGGCTGTGGTAATAGCAGATTCTTTTTACAGTAAACTGTACGTACATGTATGTACATGTCCATGTTAAATCATGGACACATAGTACTGTACACATGTACTTGGGTTCCTTTTTTTTCCCGTGTATCGGCACTTTCATACATTGTCCTTCCTTAAAATTAACGGGGCAAGAGTAGTACAGGCAATCCTGAGAATCTGATAACACCTGCTGAGGTACTGTAGGAAGCCAAGGTGCTTACATGTACACATAGCTCACTGCAATGACCTTTAAACCAAGCCCGAGCCATATCTTAGCAACCAGTTGAAGCAAACATTTACATGGTAGACTGTAGCATCCTCAGAGGCTGCCTGGTAGCATTCAGTTGGTATTCGATGACGCATTAATTTTGACCTTAGGACAATTTAGAAGTTAAGGAAGTGTGGTAGGTTTTTATCTAACATGGTAGAAAGGTCAAAAAAGGAACAGAGACTGCCCTAGCTTCCAGACTGCCTTGTGGCAAGTTTGTGATAAGCTGCTGCCAGGATATTCTTTTGAGAAATAAAGAGCACTCTGGTTGCACAAAAGTATTTGTAAATGGAGCAAATGGAGTGATTGAATAATGTCCAATGAAATGAAACAGTCCATTAATGAAATGTGTATCTATAGGCGTGTTTGTTTCATGAGGATCTAGATCTTGATCAGTGATCCTAACGCTGGTTCCTTCTATCCATGAGGCCATTTCTGGTGTCAGTTAATGTACATGTAACCAACGTCAGATCACTTAAAGTCAAATGGTTAAATGAAAGAAATGCCCATGCTCTACAGAATCTTGTAGAGTCTGTTTGATGATTGGAACACTAACTCTTTTTGTTATCAGCAATGCATCTGGCTTTAGAGTTCAGCAGTGAAGCCATTTGAAGTTTTTCCCCTCTAATAAAGTTGTGATATTCAATATGGCTACATGTACAGTACGTAGGCCTACTGGTACATACAGGTGCATAGAACAGGTGTGCGCTTTGTACATATCTGTACATGTACATGTGTACTGGAATGCAGCAGAACTATGAGGTGAACATGGTGCTGAGAAAACTTCCTGGTTCACTAATCCTTCAAGCCCGCAGGGTTAGCTTTTACTGTGCACATACCATGCACACCTACATGTACAGTGAGAGACTAAGAGCATTCCTGACTGACCATTCAGAGCAGTCTTTTCCTGATGCAGCATTGAATGCTTTTTCACATCAAGTTCTGAAAAACAGGCTTACAGTAGTTCCCTCAGGTCTTTCAGGACTAAACAGTTCTAATCCAGAAAGGTCAAAGTGTACAAACTGTCTGCAAGTACACTGTACCTACCAATACATGTAGCTGTGGCAAGAGCTTCTTCTTGGTAAATTCCTCATTGAAATGATGAAATTCCAGGTTCATTTGTGAATACAATTTTTATACAAACACGTTGCACCTACCAATATTAGTACTGGACTGTAGATTCAATGCGCTGTTACTAATGTACATGTAGCATTTGGTACATTTGTTCATGGTACCACTTCTGCACATTAGCTGTTTTTACAACCTTCCTACATGTAAATCCTTCGACAGTCAACTTCTACAAAAGTCCATTGTACATGTACATGTATACATGTGTGCTATCCTAACTCATCCTACAAAATCCCCCAAAACCTTGTGGATTTTGAAGGGTCTAGGATGGTTGCCTCTTGCCTCCGCACCAACTACACATGTACTACATGTAGTTGTATCCATGTTCAACAGTTCAGTGACAGCTCATTGGCAGTGGTGGGCATCAATAACCTTGGTCTTATTGATAGAAAGTGTGCCGTTTGATTCTGTGGCATTGATGTCAAAGCAGGTTTCCACAGTTGATTTCACACTGAGAAAGAGAACCTGGAAGGTTTCCAAAAGGTCTGATTAAAATTTTCCTTTCTGCATTAAACTGAGTATTTGTATGATGAATACCCAGCAAAGGATCATGAAATGTTTTGATTTGTAAAAACTTGCTTGGGATTGTGTGGGCAGGCATGCTGGGTGGTCGCATTTCAAATTCTTTCCACACATGGCTGCATACGATTGTTTTCTAAAGGTTTTTGGTAACGCCAGTCAGAATGACCTTTTGACCCCAAGTCAGCTTACACCTAAACATTCAGATCCTGTGATACATGGTGTGGGTGTGACATTTCAGAGCTTTAAGTTAAAACTTGTTTAAAAAGAGAATCATACACTACATGTACGTGTATTTTCAGCATTGGCATGCTCTTGAAATGCTAACAAATGAGTGTACATGTATTTCAGAATTTTTCCACCAGGATTTTCCTTAATTCAGGGTTGTACTTTGGAAATACAAAGTTAATAAGATTTGTCACCCTTGTAACTTCCTCAAACTCCAGAAGGAAATGAAAGATAAACATGCAAGAATTAGAAGAATAGGATTCAAATGGACTCACTCTATGCCTCTGGTCGTTAGGAATTATCCCTCATTATAGTTGGTACCAGCGACAGATGTTCCTGTCACCTGTCACTCAAGCTTCTCTACTTGTTCTTGTTCATTTTATTAATGTGTGTGCATTGTCATAAAAAGTAGGCTATGTCAATAAATTCTAGTGCACATATGTACGTCATGAATAAATTTGTGCATCATAAATATTGTATAGAACATTTGGAAAAGGATGGGCAGTCAAACAGACTTTTTATGGCTGTACTTTGTGCACCCCTAAAAGGCATGCTTAGTCAAAGAAGTCAGGCATGTTATCTACAGATTGTTACTTTTCCCTGCTAATAGTGTTACGTTTGAAACATTTTAAATGAAAAAAGTTCCAAATCCGTTTGCAGATTTTCCCCAACGTTTAGACGGAACCGTCCCTTTAGAGGTTTGACGTTTTGATTCACCCAATCTGGCTTTCTTTTTTGGCAAATGATGCCTGCACAATGTAATCTGATTCTCAAGACATTTTATTGCTCGAGCATATCTAAGGAATATATCCACGTATGCATCACCAGAATTTGGTGTCGTTGAAAATATACATGTACGTACAGATACATTGGACAAGGCTGCTGCATTGAGTGAAGCAGAATTTTTCGCACCGAAAATGATAATGGAGGTGTTGTATTTGTCGTCAGTCATGGCTCAGCTCACATGCAAGGGCTAATTTGTACATGTACATGTGGAAATACAGTGCTGTACCTATCATTTATTCAAAGCATGTTGTTGCTTGTATGTACATGTACATGTACCTGTACATTTATATTAAAAAGATAACATGACAAAAAAAAGATCTTTCATTAAAGTACCGTAGAATTGTAATAAAGGTTGAAGAAAATATCTGATTCATATTCTGTGTCTGTTTATGACAGGTGCGTATACATGTACATGTAGGGCAGGTGTACTGTACATGTACATACATGTACTGTATGTAGACTGACAGGTGCGTATACATGTACATGTACGTTAGGTGTAGACAGGTAGGCACACACGCAAAACAGCAACTGTACCGGTAGTTTTCCTAATTGTACATTTTTTTGGGTATTATTTGCTGTGCAGTTTGATTTGGACAACAACGGTTACATCACACCCAAGGAGCTAGGAGATGTCTTCCATTCTGTTGGAATCGACCTGCCTGGCTATGAGATCAGAGAGCTCATCAAAAAAATTGACAAAAACAACGACAACAGAGTTGAACTCTCAGAATTTTTCAATGTAAGTTTCAGCCTTCTCTTTCATATTTTGTGATTTGTTTGGAAAAAAAAATGACTGTTTTTTGTGTTCAGGTACGTGTACCTTTTGGGATTCTGAAAATGCAGACTTGGGCTTGTAAAATGGGTAGTCTGATTTCTGACTTCCAACTGTTGGCAAGTATGAGATTGATACTAACTGTACACGTTGTATTGTACATGTACATCTTGTCAGTGTGTAGAGCAGTACATACATGCTGTAGTGGTGTCTTCTGGTTTATCATAACCAAACATCTTTTCTTGGTAAAATTGCATTAAATGTCACTGAAATTGTCAGATTAGTCCTAAACTTTTACAGGCTTTCTGTGGGAAGCTTGATTTACATGATGCACAAATGGATTTTATTTGTTGGTTTTGTATTTGCGATGTGTGCTGCAGTTGTACTGTGAAATCAAGAACAAAGAAGTCGCCAAGACATTCCGCAAGGCAATCTCTAAGAAGGAGGGAATCTCAGCTTTGGCAGGCACTTCGCACACGTCAGCTGAGGGCACCACCCACTCTGTCGCTGAAGCTGAGAAAGTCGCCTTTGCCAGTGAGTACAGCTGGACTATATCTAGATGGTTTGCATGGCTGCCATCTTGAAGGCCCGTGCTTTTGTTCCACAGGGTATGTACAAAGGAGGTTTCCTGGTTGAACTGCCCTACAATATGGCTACCACGCAAAGCCTCTTTTAAAAAAAGAACCAAAAAAAGTTCTATGGGACTCTTCTTGTACTTCTTAGAATATGACAGAAATTATCTCCTGGGACAGAACGGGCCTCTCCTCCTGCACATTTTGAAATTTACACATTACAGTTGCTTCAATGTTGACAAAGTACTTGTAGTTGTCATCTTAAGGCAAAAAGACAAAGATTCTCTTAATACTCTTAGCTCTGTACCCATGAAACAAAGAACAAGTAAATATGCATGATGGAAACTTTGCTTTTTGCACATAAAACTTACTGCCTATGAGGGGAATGCACACCAATGCACTGTCAATTTCATTTCAAACCACGCCCTCTTTTGTTCCTGCTTGGAGCAGATACATGTAGATACCGGAAGTATGAGATACTTCGATTTGAATGGCTTTCTTTCAGAGAGAGAAGTGGTTGATATGCCAGCACAAACCTTCAACAATACCACCACAAGTCATTCTGTCTCAAATCCAGTTATAACCTTTTCAGTTGAACAGTGACAAAAGTACTCCTTCCTGTCCTACATTTATGTCACTAAAGGTGCACTTCAATT